GAAGCGCTTACGACTGCCTGGGAAACACTGCCGATTGCATACATCCCTTCGCTTTATTCTTCTCTTTCACGTCACTGTCGACAAGTTCTAATATCAAAGGGTCACATCACCAAGTATTAACTTTGTTGGAATACTGTAAAGTAAGATATTAATATTTAAAATTGGACGTAACGCTTAGGAGACCGGCGGCCATTTTGATAAAGTTTTGGCATGTGAGTGTACTTCAGACCACAATACTAATACTTACAGGCAGGCATGCACATCAGTGTTCAATAAGTTCGCCTTGTGAAAGGTGTCAGATCTAAGCAATTTGATTGGTCGAGAGCCTGTAGTAGGAAATAGGACAAGTCCTATGTCTTACAACTCGGCTGTTATTAGATGTATACGATTTGAAATCGTTACCATCAGGATGTTCTGACGAAACATCTGTGTTACATGCTACAGGTTGTTACTAAGTGTCGAACTGTGAGAGTGAGTGAGTGAGTGAGTTCAGTTTAACGCCGCTTTTAACTATATTCCAGCTATATCACGGCGGGGAACATCAGAAACGGGCTTCAAACATTGTACCCATGTGGGGAATCGAACCCGGGTCTTCGGCGTGACGAGCAAACGCTTTAACCACTAGGCTAGTCCACAGCCCGTCGAACTGTGGGAACGAATCTCAACGAAAGTCCATGGTACGATGTCGACACCATGTGCATGCATGTGTAAAGTGATTGGTAAGGATGCCGTTGGGCAGTTTAAAAGGGGTAGGGAGTCCACAGACGATGACCCAAGATCAGGCAGGCCTTCAGGTGCAACCCGACCGGAAACCGCTATAGAAAAAAGAAATTTGTCTGACCAACCAATAACAGTATCTGAACTTTCTAAGGAATTCCAAATATCAGTTGGAACTTTTAAAGCCAGTATTCATGAGCATCTTGGTATGCCCAACGTATTTGTAAGATGGGTACCTAGAAACCTCAGAGCTCAAGAGCTGAACGTTGTCGAGAGTCTTGGATCTCTCTACAGCTGATGAAGCCAGATTTCTGTCTCGTCCAGTGACAGGTGATGAAACATGGATCCACTAATGCGACCAAGGAACTAAATTGGAATCCGTGCAATGGAAGTACCCCACTTCTCCCCTTCCGAAGAAGTTTCGCACTCAACCATCTGCTGGCAAGGTAATGGCCACCATATTTTGGGATGCAAGAGGCAGATTACGGCTATGCCACCAAAAACTACACTCAGTGCAGTCTAAGTAAACTTAGGCTCAGTATTATTCGTTACACTGCTATCTACTGAGTCTAACAAAACCTAGTAGAAGGTCGCGTCAGGCAACCTTTTGGACTGACCAATCAGAACACAGCTTACCAAATCGCGAAAGTTAACATTCGCACATACCGTTTGAACCTTTACTTAAAAAACTCGAACGATTCCGAATGCTATTTTCCGCACGATCGCTTCCGAGTGATACACGCAATGCGTAAACAGTCGCTGAAAGTAGCGCTTTTGTCAATATTCAAGGATGTCATCTTGCGAAAATATAAGCAAATAGTAACCATGTCAATAGAAAGCCATAAGCGTATATGCTGGTCAAATATCTGTGTTTTATGCGGATTTTCGTTTGTTGATAGATCAGTGTCAGCGACTAGGGAAGAGAAAATCCAAAAACCGTTTTGTAAGTACCGCCGAACCCTAACAAGTAGTCGTTGTCTGATTGGCTAAATCCGTTCGGCCGCCTCGCGTTTGATTGGACGGTCATAGATAGCTGAAAGGTTAGCTGACATGACCTTCTACTAGGTTTTGTTCGACTCAGTATAGCAGTGTAACGAATAATACTGAGCCTAAGGTTACTTAGACTGCACTCAGTGGACAGTGTTATGCTGATTTAATGAAATATTTGCGAAAACCTATTCGCCAGAAACGCCGTTGGATGTTAACATGTGGTGTTCTGCTTTTGCATGACAGCGCTCCAGTTCACAAGTTAAGAATTGTACAGTCCGCAAAACGTGAATGTGGATTCGAACAGTTAAATCACCCACCTTACAGCCCAGATTTAGTCCCCAGTTACTATTTCATGTTCCGGCAAATAAAATCTGCCCAACGTGGAAGACGCTTCCAGGTTGACGAGGACATAAAGGCTGCCACAGTTGACATGGTTAGAGGATCAATCTGTGGATTTCTATAAATGTGGTATAAAAAGTTTGAGTGAGTGAGTCTAGTTTTACGCCGCATTCAGCCATATTCCAGCTATATGGCGGCGGTTTTAAATATATGTTTGTTTGTTGGTGACCATTCACATGCACAAAATTTACTCATGTGGCAAAGTAAATTTGCACATGTGTAAATATGCATACGTGTGTAATAGTAAATTTACTTTGCGTTCACATTGAATTTATGTAGAGTGAGTAAACTTGGAAGTGTAAATAATAAATGTATTAAATTGTTCCATTGTTTCTCTGAACTTGAACAGAGATAGATGTTCTCTTATCACTGGCGCTTTAGAAGACAAACACAGTATTAGATATGTACTGCTCTTGCAATAGGTCTGTCACAAGAAAGACCGACTGTTTGCTGGAACGACATGAATGAAACTAGTTACGACAAAGACTGGTACGATAATTTTTGAATAAACAAAGGGGTTTTCGATCTTATCTGCACACAACTGCGGGATTACTTAAAAGCTAGTGACCAAGCTGTTCGCCAACCTTAGGATGTACGAATGAAACTTGCAATCGCAATATACTGCATGGCTTCAACTTCAGAATATAGAACTGTGGGGAATTTGTATGGTGTAGGGAAGTCCGCCGTTTGTAAATGTATTCATGAAGTATGTCAGACCATATGAGATGTTTTGGTTTGTAATATGTAACTTTTCCCCTAAATGAAGATGACATGACATAGTTTACTCGCAGTGCAAATTTGCACATGTGTAATTATAATTTTGCACCTGGTCCCGACCACATGTAAATTTGCTCCTAGTGTTCACATGACACATTTACACACGTATGTAAAGTTTGCTCATGTGTGTATTTATACATATGTGTGCAAAAACAGATGCATGTGGAACGGGGTTACTTGTACATAAGTATAACCTAAACGATATATTTGCTAACTATGTCAATAATTGTCAATGTATTAATAAGAAATGCTGATCCAGGTTCGTAAATGATGCTATTAAATCTCATCGAGACATTATATTTTATGTTCATCTTAATTCAAGACTTGGTCTGTCAGTATAAGATCCAGGAATGAACACTATCTCTGGATGCTAGCCGCAGAGAAGAATGACCAGTTAACTGATATTGCAAGACTTGTTTTCTATGGATCAAGAGAATGTTCTTGTAAAACTGTCACCAATGATATTGTAAAGCATGTGTTTATGTCATGTACGAATGAATGACAGAAATGAACTCTTTAACACCTTATGTGATATTCTGGATGTAGATACTTTTGTTAAGATCTGGGATCAAGATGATGATGTTATTCTTACTTGCTGGATGTCCAATAGAATATATTATGGAACTAGAAAGAGATGTGTGGGCAAAAGTAAAAATTAATGTAAGCCATTTTATAAGGAAATGGCGATACCTGCTAAAACATGTGTATATGTGAACATTCTTGACTATATCACTAATCCATCTTAATCATTTGACGTAAAATATATTATCACTGCATATCGTAATCTTCATTCAATTGGAGGAAATAAAGAATATATACCTATCTATCATACTTGGGCAGGAGATGCTCCACCAAGGTGGTACTCACATCTTTGACACAAATGTATACAGTGGCTTTGGATACTACAAACAAATTACCGACTGTTCTGTAGTCTGTCGAAGTTGCTAGCCAGTATACAACTATAGCAACTTTGTGGTCAACATCAAGGCGCTCCCTCACTGGAGTTGAGTCTTTATGCAGAAAGGGGTGAAGTTCTTCACAGAGAAGGTCAAATGTAGCTTTAGACATTTAAAATTTTCAACCCATTCATTATCTGAAAATGTCATTTGACAGTGTTTTGCCACCAATGACTTGATCTCTCTTTTTTCCAAACATTTCTCTGTTTTGTTAAAGCCAAAATAAGTGCAGAGTTCAGAAGCATAGGAAAAACGTAATACTTTCGCTTCAACGTATATCTCTACATCATGTATGATGCTTGCCTCAGATGTGAAAAACTAAAAATGAAACAAAACACATGACCATATAATAAAATACATATAGGTTCTAATTCTTCATGTAAACGCAAAGTAAATATACTTTTACCTGCGTATGCAAATATACACCATATGCAAATATACACACGTGAGTAAAAAGTGTCCATGTAAACGGGGTACAAGTCAACGAACCTGACCACCCGATCCCGTTAGTCCCCTCTTACGACAAGGGCTGCTGAAGAGCAATTCTAACCCAGATCTCCACGGGGGAGACAAGCATGGGTTGCAGAGCAATTCTATCCCAGATATCCACGGGGGAGACAAGCATGGGTTGCAGAGCAATTCTAACCCAGATCTCAACGGGGGAGACAAGCATGGGTTGCAGAGCAATTCTAACCCAGATCTCCACAACAAGCATGGGTTGGGAGACAAGCATGGGAGACAAGCAGCAATTCTAACCCAGATCTCAACGGGGAGACAAGCATGGGTTGCAGAGCAATTCTAACCCAGATCTCAACGGGGGAGACAAGCATGGGTTGCTGAAGAGCAATTCTAACCCAGACATCCACGGGGGAGGCAAGCATGGGTGCTGAAGAGCAATTCTAACCCAGATCTCCACGGGGGAGACAAGCATGGGTTGCTGAAGAGCAATTCTAACCCAGATCTCCACGGGGGAGACAAGCATGGGTTGCTGAAGAGCAATTCTAACCCAGATCTCCACGGGGGAGACAAGCATGGGTTGCTGAAGAGCAATTCTAACCCAGATCTCCACGGGGAGACAAGCATGGGTTGCTGAAGAGCAATTCTAGTCCGGATGTTGAGGGGTTGTAAGAAAATGAAAAGGGAATCAAGACTCAAACAGTGTTGACATGACAGTAAAAAGTTATATTATCACTTCACTGTCAAAATTACTATTTCTTCCGCATGGAATCAATTTAATTCATTATTAGTATTTATTACAATTTCATGGATACTGTTTCCAAGAATCATTGAATAATACGTTATATATACAGACATGGCAGCACTATTTCATCGCTTTCTCATGCCTCTCAGACTTTCATAAAGCTTCAATATGCGGCGTAGCTGCGACTGGGTGTCCCTATAATGTCATGTTGTTGCTCTAGAGACGCCTTCCGTCGTAGGTTTTGTCCATGGGGGTGGTCGGTGTGGTGGTGGTCAGGGCGGTGGTAGCCGTGTAAGTGTTGTCGTCTGTGGTCCACACGTCGCTGTCATAGAAGGTTTTACCTGATGTCTTGTCGGCCCTGACCAAACAGGAATTTAACAGTCAATGCTCAAGACACATTTGTGTGGTAGGATAGCCTGGTGGTTAAAGCAGCCACCGGTAAGGAAAAATGCACGGGTTCGATTCCCTACGTCGACACATGCCCGCAGTGAAATTAATGGAATATTTGTAGAAGTACTTCAAGAATCTTACCAATACTAATCTCGAGTATATCACATGACTATGATGAACTGAGAATATTTTTGTGATAATCTGTCTTGTCAGGACAGCAAATGCTCAGGAAAATACTGATATGCATTGATAGATCAAGATGTATGTATGTATGTATGTATGTATGTATGTATGTGTGTGTGTATGTGTGTGTGTGTGTGTGTGTGTGTGTGTGTGTGTTGTATGTATGTGTGTATGTATGTATGTATGTATGTATGTATGTATGTATGTATGTATGTATGTATGTATCTATGTATGTATCGATGTACGTACGTACGTATATGTAGATGAGTATGAAATTTTTCTCAAGTTATCTGCGAATGTTTCCGAAATATGAACTCACGTCATAGTATGAGGTACTGGTTTTGCCGGCAATTCCTGGCGAAGTGATATTGAATGACAGAGGGTTGTGGACTGTGTTTGTTATACTTATGTTTGTGAATATAAGTTCCATCTTGATGGATGACTTACCACCTTACCTTCGTCTCCTCATGACACACACGACCACCCCGACGACGATCAGCACCACGAACAGTACTGCCACAACACTTCCACTAGCCACAATCCACACCATGTAAGTAGCGTCGGTCTGGGCATCTGTTAATGAAGAATTGTTCTGGGATAGTGACAAACGATTAATTGTGAACCTAAATATTAAGATCAATTTTGATCACACAGGTGGATCGCTGTTCTAAGAGAATGAGTGATAGATTCAGGTTTTACACTCCTTTGAACTCTACTTTAGTTTTGTAGTGACGTGTAAGCGTAAGTGATACAGGACACAATACAGGACAAAACCCACAGTGATACAGGACAAAAGCGTAACTAGACGCGGGTGGTGGACATAAACGGATGAAGGTCAAAGTAGTAAACGGGTGGAGGTCATGGACTTAAAGGGGTGCGGGTCACGGGAGTAAAGTGGTGCAGGTCATGGACTTAAAGGGGTGCGGGTCACGGGAGTAAAGAGGTGCAGGTCACGGGAGTAAAGGGGTGCAGGTCACGGGCGTAAAGTAGTGCAGGCCATGGACTCAAAGGGATGCAGGTCACGGGAGTAAAGTGGTGCAGGTCATGGACTTAAAGGGGGTCACGGATCACAGAAGTAGAGTAGTGCAGGTCATGGACTTAAAGGGGTGCAGGTCACGGGAGTAAAAGTGGTCCAGGTCATGGACTTAAAGTGGTGCAGGTCACGGGAGTAAGGGGAGCATGTCATGGACTTAAAGGGGTGCAGGTCCTGGGGAGTAAAGTGGTGCAGGTCATGAACTTCAAAAGTGGCGAGAGGCCACGGAAGCAAAGTGGTGCATGTCATGGACTTAAAGGGGTGCAGGTCACGGGAGTAAAGGGGTGCAGGTCATGGACCCTAAAGGGGTGCAGGTTACGGGAGTAAAAGCATGCAGGTCATGGACTTACAGGTTGTGGGTGACAGGAGTAAACGAGCGCATGTCATGGACTTAAAAGGGTGTAGGTCACGGGAGTAAAGGAGTGCATGTCATGGACTTAAAAGGGCGTAGTCACGGGAGTAAAAGTGGGTGGAGGTCATAGACTTAAAGGGGTGCGGGTTACAGTGGGAGTAAAGTGGTGCAGGTCATGGACTTAAAGGGGTGCAGGTTACAGGAGTAAAAGTAGTGCAGGTCATGGACTTAAAGGGTTGCGGGTGACAGGAGTAAACGGAGGCGCATGTCATGGACCCTAAAGGGGTGTGGGTTACGGGAGTAAAAGGGTGCATGTCATGGACTTAAAGGGGTGCAGGTCACGGGGGTAAACAGGTGCAGGTCATGGACTTAAAGGGGTGAGAAGTCACGAGGAGCATAGTGGTGCAAGGTCATGGACTTAAAGGGGTGTGGGTCACGGGAAGTAAAATGGTGCAGGTCATGGACTTAAAAGGGCGTGGTCACAGGAGTAAAAGTGGTGGAAGTCATGGACTTAAAGGGGTGCGGGTTACACGGGAGGTGCAGGTCAGGGCAAAGTAGCGCAGGTCATGGACTTAAAAAGGGGTGCGTGTTACGGGAGTAAAGTAAAGTGCAGGTCATGTAAAAAGGGGTGCGGGTGACAGGAGTAAACGGGTGCATGTCATGGACTTAAAGGGGTGCAGGTCACGGGGAGTAAGCAGGTGCAGGTCATGAACTTAAAGGGGGTGAGAGGTCACGGGAGCATAGTGGTTGCAGGTCATGGATTTAAAGGGTTGCAGGTCACGGGAGTAAATGGTGCAGGTCATGGACTTAAAGGGGGTTGCGGGTGACAGGAGGAGTAAGAAAGGCGCATGTCATGGACTTAAAGGGCGTGGAGTCAAGGGAGTAAAGGAGTGCAGGTCATGGACTTAAAAGGGCGTGGTCACAGGGAGTAAAAGTGGTGCAGGTCATGGACTTAAAGGGGTGCGTGTACTTGCAGGAGTAAAGTAAAGAAGAAAGTGCAGGTCATGTAAAAAGGGGTGCGGGTGACGGGAGTAAACAGGTGCATGTCATGGACTTAAAGGGGTGCAGGTCACGGGGAGTAAACGGGTGCAGGTCATGAACTTAAAGGGGTGTAGGGTCACAGGAACATAGTGGTGCAGGTCATGGATTTAAAGGGTTGCGGGTCACGGGAGTAAATGGTGCAGGTCATGGACTTAAAAAGGGTTGCGGGTGACAGGAAGCTTGGTAAACAGGCGCATGTCATGGACTTAAAAAGGGCGTGGAGTCAAGGGGAAGTAAACGGGAGTGCAGGTCATGGACTTAAAAAGGGCGTGGTCACGGGAGTAAAGTGGTGGAGGTCATGGACTTTAAAGGGTGTGGGTAACAGGGAGTAAAGGAGTGCAGGTCATGGACTTAAAGGGCGTGGTCACGGGAGTAAAAAGTGGTGGAGGTCATGGACTTAAAGGGGTGCGGGTGGACTTAAAGGAGTGCGGGTCACGGGAATAAAGTGGTGCAGGTCACGGGAGTATGGGAGTGCAGGTCAAGGGAGTATGGGAGGGAGTGCAGGTCAAGGGGTATGGGAGTGCAGGTCAAGGGAGTATGGGAGGGAGTGCAGTTCAAAGGGAGTATGGGAGTTGCAGGTCAAGGTAGTATGGGAGTGCAGGTCAAGGGAGTATGGGAGGGAGTGCAGGTCAAGGGGAGTATGGGAGCGCAGGTCAAAGGGAGTATCTGAGCGCAGGTCAAGGGGTATGGGAGTGCAGGTCAAGGGAGTATCTGAGTGCAGGTCAAGGGAGTATGGGAGGGAGTGCAGGTCAAGGGAGTATGGAGCGCAGGTCAAGGGGTATGGGAGTGCAGGTCAAGAGAGTATGGGAGTGCAGGTCAAGGGGGTATGGGGAGGGAGTGCAGGTCAAGGGGTATGGGAGTGCAGGTCACGGGATTGAAATGGTGCAGGTCAAGGGAGTATGGGAGGCGCAGGTCAAGGGAGTATCTGAGTGCAGGTCAAGGGAGTATGGGAGGGAGTGCAGGTCAAGGGAGTATGGGAGTGCAGGTCAAGGGAGTATGGGAGGGAGTGCAGGTCAAGGGAGTATGGGAGTGCAGGTCAAGGGAGTATGGGAGTGCAGGTCAAGGGAGTATGGGAGTGCAGGTCAAGGTAGTATGGGAGTGCAGGTCAAGGTAGTATGGGAGTGCAGGTCAAGGGAGTATGGGAGTGCAGGTCAAGGGAGTATGGGAGTGCAGGTCAAGGGAGTATGGGAGTGCAGGTCAAGGGAGTATGGGAGTGCAGGTCAAGGGAGTATGGGAGTGCAGGTCAAGGGAGTATGGGAGTGCAGGTCCTGGGAGTTGCCTCATCCCCTGGTCCGGGGATGAAATGAACCAAGTTGACGTTGGGCGATTGATTAAGAGTATGCCTCGTCCCATCCGTGGTTGTCTTGTGAACAGAACACTGCGATGTCTATGAGTTGACACTACATAGTAAATGACGCGATGGACATTATCCCAAATATGTGGTTATCTGACGTTCAATGACGATTCCAAATCTCAGCAGATGTTCTTCTACACTGTTAACCCATCGATCTCATCAAATATATAAAAACAAAAAATAGTTGTGACAGTTTTTCTTGAATATCCCCTACATTAGACGGTATGTGTCATACGGGGGCGATGGGGTGGCCCAGTGGGTAAAACGATGTCCACTACCAGTAACTTCACCCTGTAGGGGGGCGGCGGAGTAGCATGGTGGTTAAAGCGTTGGCTAGTCACGCCGAAGACCCGGGTTCGATTCCCCACATGGGTACAATGTGTGAAGCCCATTTCTGGAGTCCCCCGCCGTGATATTGCTGGAATATTGCTAAAATCGGCGTAAAACTAAACTCACTCACTCATTATTTGTCATACGTGCCTGTGCATGGGGGAAGACCACAGTTCCTTTCTTCTGATTCTGAACTGTTACCAGTGCACGGTCGTCCACCGTTCTGTGGGGTGGGATTGCTACAAGACCTGGTTCTGGTCACACTTTTCGTGGCACTTCCACAGGCCATGGAGCATGGCGGATTGGTCCACAGTCCCCACTGTGTGAAGCCGCCATCAACTGAAACATCCCATTTCGATTTGTCTGCAATATGAACTTTAGCCAGATAATGTTTGAGACAGATGCACAGACCACAACTTGACTTAAATAGCGAGCTATAGGTATCTTACTGTCATGGTCTCTTGGGTGTGGGTTCGAACTCCACCTTCGATAATGTCCATGTCCCTTTTTTCATCAGCATTCATGGAATTTGTGTCCACATTGTATGTCACAGATTACAAATGTTGGGTGACCCAATCATGCAACCAACTCACAATAAGGCCACATAAAAAATATTCTTGTTTCCAATCACTTTTTCCCCAAAAATATGGATCGGGCGGGCGGATTTATTTTCACATTTTATGTTATTTTATGTAAAAAAAACCCTTGATTTCTGTGGAAATTTACACCTTCTCCAATAGAAAATCAGAACTTAGAAGTGTGAAAAATTCATACACATTTTGAGAGTCAAAGTTGCATTTTCTCTAGTGTAAAAGATAAAAAGAAATCTTAGGGCCGGGTCGATTTTTGGGGTCGGGCGGTAATGAGAAACAAGAATATTATAATTATATGGCCTGAGGGTATCAGGTAAACACTTGATACTGGTAATGATATTGAGTTACGTGGATGTATTTGCAAATAACAAACCTGTGTCTTTGTTTCATTCGTTTGTTGATTTCACCCGCTGTGATATAGCTGGAATATTGCTAAAAGCGGTATAAAAACATACTCACTCACTCGTGTGTTGATTAACACCGTGCCATATGACGACGGACAGTTCATAATAGAACCGGACCAGCTGATCATGTGATCGATATAATTAATGAGTATTGATCCATGCCATTGGGGTATGGGGGCCTGCAATCAACGGTGCCAACGAGCCTCTCCATCCGGTCCATATATTCGCCAGTTCCAACAAGCTTACACTGCCGGGGTTCACATATCGTCCCTTGGAATCTTCAAAGGTCACATAATTTATATGTCGGTGTTTGTTTCGCTACTGGTAAAGATTATTAAAGTAAGAGTGATAGTTTCTTGTGTTGACTCGGATGTATAACTCGTCAATAAGCACTCTACCTGGACACCCGCTGAGCTGGCAGCTTCTGACAGTTGTTTCCAGTAATGTCTCCAGACAATCCCGGCCGCCATTTTGGGGTGAAGGATTGGTGCAAGTCCTCGTCCGGGTCACGTTCCTCACGGCCAATACTCCGCACGTGACAGAGCAGGTAGAGCCCGTCCAGACACTCCACTCACTCACTCCACCGTCCACCCCACCTTCGGAGCGATAAAATGTATGGTTATCTACGAAAATGTGTAGGAAGGCTTTCTGTGAATGTGTATGAATTTGTCTTATCCTCGAGGTTTCGATTTGGTTGTTAAATAGGATTAATTAAAATCGATAAATATAATATGTGCGAAGTCGTCACGGAACTTTGTCAGAGAGAGATACAACAGGTGACAACTCTAATAGGAGATAATGCACAACCACACACGACCTTAGTCGTCACGGAACTTTGTCAGAGAGAGAAACAGCAGGTGACAACTCTAATGGGAGATAATGCACAACCACACACGACCTTAGTCGTCACGGAACTTTGTCAGAGAGAGAGAAACAGCAGGTGACAACTCTAATAGGAGATAATGCACAACCACACACGACCTTGGTCGTCACGGAACTTTGTCAGAGAGAGAAACAGCAGGTGACAACTCTAATGGGAGATAATGCACAACCACACACGACCTTGGTCGTCACGGAACTTTGTCAGAGAGAGAAACAGCAGGTGACAACTCTAATGGGAGATAATGCACAACCACACACGACCTTGGTCGTCACGGAACTTTTGTCAGAGAGAGAAACAGCAGGTGACAACTCTAATGGGAGATAATGCACAACCACACACGACCTTGGTCGTCACGGAGTTTTGTCAGAGAGAGAAACAGCAGGTGACGTCGTCACGGAGTTTTGTCAGAGAGAAACAACAGGTGACAACTCTAATGGGAGATAATGCACAACCACACACGACCTTGGTCGTCACGGAGTTTTGTCAGAGAGAGAAACAACAGGTGACAACTCTAATGGGAGATAATGCACAACCACACACGACCTTGGTCGTCACGGAGTTTTGTCAGAGAGAAACAACAGGTGACAACTCTAATGGGAGATAATGCACACATAGGTACAGCGCCTAAGTCGTCACGAAGAGTCAGATGAAAATATAGCCAGTGCTTAGCATTCTCCCCTTCAGCAGCAAACTGTTTACAGTTAGTCGTGGTGGAGGATCTAGCAAGTTCATGAGAAGATGCATTATTTAGCCTTGTGGTTAAGTCGTCTCGCCGGGAGTCCGGGTTCGATTCCCCGCGTGTGTACACTATATGAAGACTTTTCTCATATATCCTGCTGTATTATTGTTGGAGTGTTGCTAAAGCGACGTAAAACCATACCCACTTTAAAATCTATGGGTTAAGTACAGTTTGTATTCACACAAGTCCATTGTCCTACCTGGACAAGGCCCAATATTGCAGGGGACAAGCGCCGTCTGGGAGCGTGCCTCAGTGCAGTCACGTCCCCCGTACTGTGGGGGAGGGTTGGTGCAGCTCCGGGTCCTCCTCACCTCCTTCTGGGCAGACAAGCCACACGACTGGGGACACTGCGGTGTGCTCCATTGTCCCCAGGCTGATATGCCGCCGCTGACTGAACATGGATCCATGGCATAAGTCATCATCAAGAGTATATAGATATATCCTTGTTTTTGTAGATAGTTTGATCAAAAATACAAATTTAGAAATTTCTCCAGTAATATATTTCTGATAATGAAGTCCTTGGCTTTAAAAGGGAGCCATTATTCTATACCGTCGTTGCATTATTCTACAAGTCATTACATTGATTACACAACAGTCTCGTTGCCTGTTGTCTGGGTTCCGTCCTATTGCGCAACTTAGTACACTAACCAGTCCAGAATGTTGAGACTAATTCATTTAACTGGATACATAAATATTAATCAGTATTATTTGATACATCTAAGCACTTGTATATTGCAACACTACGCTCAATCTAATCCTTGCAAACACGTCGTGCAGCGTGCTGTCGTACAGCGAGCTCTGACAAACAGAAACCTGGAAATCGTGGAAATCTCAAAACGAGGATCTGCCACTAGAAAAGTTTGGCGAATCATTTTACGACCTCATCAAACCGGGGCAGACTGTGACGCCTTAGTTAAGGTCATGCTGCCTACACCTCGCCATAATATATAAAAATACGATATTATTAAAGTTTAAAATTAAAATTCATTTGTAAAAACCATTTTCTAATGAGACAAGGAATTGGATTTCAGAGTAACCATAGTTGTTTGTGTTGTCAATTTTCACTTTCGCACGAGAAAACTCGGATCGGCGGAAAAGTAGGTCATTGTCTGATTAGGTTATTGAGACTCATGTTTCGGTTTGTAATTCGATGTAATTAGATGTATAAAGTATTGTATTATTCAAAGCACCCACCAAAATATTAAATATGTCATTCAGTTTTGTGTAAAGAAAAAAACAAACACACGCCCCAGTAAATAAAATAAAATAAATTAAACAAAACCGCAAAAAAAAAAGAAAAAACAAAAACCAAAATAAAACCCTCAAAAAGCATAAAAACACACACACAACAAAAAAACCCACAAAAAAAACACAACAAACACACAAAAACAAAACAAACAAATAAAAAAACCCAACAAAACAAAACAAAAACTAAAAGCAGACAAGTTAAACACTAAAAAATAAGGCATTCAGCCAAAAGCAAAATCACGAAAGAAACAAAATACTGCAATGCAAAATAACGGCATTCTATGTGCCATGAACAATGAGGTCAAATGTAACATATGTAATATTTGGAATAATTCATGACACTGTCCAAACATATGAGATGTTTAACAAATCGTGTTCGGCTTATCATAAATGGTTATTCGTAAGTCTTACTCGGGCAGTAGGGAAGGTTGCAGCTGACTTCCATGGTCTCAGACAGTATATCCGTGCAGTCCGCTCCCCCATAGGCTGGTGCTGGGTTGGTGCAGGTGCGTGTCCTAAACAGTGACATGGTAGCGTCGTGACCACAAGTAACTGAGCAGGTTTGACCACCCCAACTTGACCAGTCGCTTACTTTGCCGTCAACTGTTCAGAGAGTTTGAAAGAAAAGTAAAATTGAAACGGACGTTTTAATGTCATTGTTTAGAGAGATATTCAATTTACATAACTCAAGGAAGATATAATTATACCTGATAAACCCATGTTCCTGACGTAGTGACAATGCTACAAGTGACCAAAAGTCGTATTGCCGAATTGCCGCACTTTGGTAAATTATTAATTAGGGCAACGCGACTTTGTCCCTTCTAGGATTCCATAGTTTTGAGATATTTTTAGGAGTTAGTTCACAGTATAGTGAACCCGTTAACCTTTCTTACATCCAACATTATAATCAAATATTAAATTATCCTTATAAATCTTCGTTAAAGACAGGCAATAAGTGATCTGTGTAATAACTGGAGTATAAACATACTAAAGATCTAGGCGTGGTATTTATAATGAAATATTTGCTGTAGTAAAGTTCAACATATAGCCTGTCGACATTTGAGCTACTGTCGTTCCTGCCACCTTACTTGACAAACAGGCTTTTCAGCGTAGGAAAATAGACCAGGGTTGGCTAAATCTATTTTATTGAACTATAGAAATGCATTCACGAAACACGCTGTTCTAACCATGACACAAATCAACATCCTTCTAGAAATCTGTTTTAACTTTCCAGAACATGTTTGTGGCTTTATGTTGAAAAATTACAGTCTCTGGCTAAAAATATATATGTCCCTGGCTATTGAAAGATAAGAAAATTGTCTTCTACCATCAATACATTGATAAAAGGTGACTTTCAAAAAATATATTGGGCTTAGAGTTGTAGTAAAAATATAACTGGCTTTTCAGCTGTAGCTGAAACAATATGTATAGTTTCAATATAATATCCATGCATCCGGACTCCACCCACTTCACCTCTTCTCCAGAAAATCCAACGGATGGTCCCTAACATGAAGGACACGTGTATGCTCATTTAAAGGCGGTCGTTCAGACAATGATCCAGTGCATCACACGCCATGCCAAATACCCACGGAAGAAATTATCTCCGTGGCTACAATGGCTGCTTGTTTGTTGTCCAGGTGCACGACTACCACGATAACGACATGTGGCCGTGTTGATACTGTCGCAACTGGACTGCCCTAATCATCACGACATATTTCCTTGCGTAATGTTTTAGTGAGTGAGTTGATTTTACGCCGCACTCAGCAATATTCCAGCTATATGGCGGCGGTCTGTAAATAGTCGAGTCTGGACCAGACAATCCAGTGATCAACAGCATGAGCATCGATCTGCGCAATTGGGAACCGATGACAAGTGTCAACCAAGTCAGCGAGCCTGACCACCCGATCCCGTTAGACGCCTCTTTCGACAAGCATGGGTTACTGGAGGCCAATATTCTAACCCGGACCTTCACGGGTCTCGCCTATTACGACAAGCATGGATTACTGGAGGCCAATATTCTAACCCGGACCTTCACGGGTCATAATGTTTTAGATTAGAAATGGACTGGATTGACGAATCGTGGTACATATCCATACGTTATCTCAGAATGAGAGTGTTTTACTATCCATATTCTCGGATCGCGGACATACCGTTCCCTGATTCAATAACACAGACTGTACCTGGGGTGGACTTACCTGGACACGGGTTAGTCAGTCTACAGCTCTCCTGTCTAGGCTGTGTCGCCTCGCCCACACAGTCCTGACCCCCGTTAGAGGGGGCGGGGTTGTCACACGCCCTGGTTCGCCAGGTGGTCTTGTAGGCCATGTTCCCGCAGGTTGCAGGGCAGCCGACAGACGCCGTGTTCCACTCCCCCCACTGACCCCATTCGCCGTTCACAGCAGATACTGAAGCAGAGAGGTCGTCTTCATCTGAATAATTGTTTCCATTCCACATAGCAGTCGGTGTTATATCAGGACAACACTCAAATCCAAGTATCCTCAAATAAAAAACCTCAGAGAAACAAAAGGTTAATATATGACGGAATACTTACAGGGTATAAAAATCACGGGTATAACGTAATTCAGATTTCTGACAGTTCTCACCTTGAAGGTCTTAATTTCATCAGCTAGTCAAACCGGTCAGTGAGTGAGTGAGTGAGTGAGTGAGTGAGTGAATGTATAACATAGATATACGTACTTGGTGTCTCACATATATCCCCGGTGTAGTCAGGTGGACAGTGACACAGGCAAGGTATGGTGTTCTGAGTCCCGCCGTTTTCACACACTTTGTTACAAGCTGAAATATACAGAAGACAGCAACGATTCAAATATCACAGGATGAAGTTGTTTGAGTCTGTACAGAATATGAGTGAGTGAGTGCGAGGATGAAGTTGTTTGAGTCTGTACAGGATATGAAGTGAGTGAGTGTGAGGATGAAGTTGTTTGAGTCTGTACAGGATATGAGTGAGTGAGTGTGAGGATGAAGTTGTTTGAGTCTGTACAGGATATGAGTGAGTGAGTGTGAGGATGAAGTTGTTTGAGTCTGTACAGGATATGAGTGAGTGAGTGAGTGGGAGGATGAAGTTGTTTGAGTCTGTACAGGATATGAGTGAGTGAGTGTGAGGATGAAGTTGTTTGAGTCTGTACAGGATATGAGTGAGTGAGTGCGAGGATGAAGTTGTTTGAGTCTGTACAGGATATGAGTGAGTGAGTGTGAGGATGAAGTTGTTTGAGTCTGTACAGGATATGAGTGAGTGAGTGTGAGGATGAAGTTGTTTGAGTCTGTACAGGATATGAGTGAGTGAGTGTGAGGATGAAGTTGTTTGAGTCTGTACAGGATATAAGTGAGTGAGTGTGAGGATGAAGTTGTTTGAGTCTGTACAGGATATGAGTGAGTGAGTGTGAGGATGAAGTTGTTTGAGTCTGTACAGGATATGATGAGTGAGTGAGTGCGAGGATGAAGTTGTTTGAGTCTGTACAGGATATGAGTGAGTGAGTGTGAGGATGAAGTTGTTTGAGTCTGTACAGGATATGAGTGAGTGAGTGTGAGGATGAAGTTGTTTGAGTCTGTACAGGATATGAGTGAGTGAGTGTGAGGATGAAGTTGTTTGAGTCTGTACAGGATATGAGTGAGTGAGTGTGAGGGATGAAGTTGTTTGAGTCTGTACAGGATATGAGTGAGTGAGTGTGAGGATGAAGTTGTTTGAGTCTGTACAGGATATGAGTGAGTGAGTGTGGAGGATGAAGTTGTTTGAGTCTGTACAGGATATGAGTGAGAGTGAGTGTGAGGATGAAGTTGTTTGAGTCTGTACAGGATATGAGTGAGTGTGAGTGTGAGGATGAAGTTGTTTGAGTCTGTACAGGATATGAGTGAGTGAGTGTGAGGATGAAGTTGTTTGAGTCTGTACAGGATATGAATGAGTGAGTGTGAGGATGAAGTTGTTTGAGTCTGTACAGGATATGAGTGAGTGAGTGTGAGGATGAAGTTGTTTGAGTCTGTACAGGATATGAGTGAGGAGTGAGTGTGAGGATGAAGTTGTTTGAGTCTGTACAGGATATGTGAGGATGAAGTTGTTTTGAGTGTACAGGAGTGAGTGAGGATGAAGTTGTTTGAGTCTGTACAGGATATGTGAGTGAGTGTGAGGATGAAGTTGTTTGAGTCTGTACAGGATATAGTTGTTTGAGTGAGTGAGTGTGAGGATGAAGTTGTTTGAGTCTGTACAGGATATGAGTGAGTGAGTGTGAGGATGAAGTTGTTTGAGTCTGTACAGGATATGAGTGGAGTGAGTGTGAGGGATGAAGTTGTTTGAGTCTGTACAGGATATGAGTGAGAGGAGTGTGAGGATGAAGTTGTTTGAGTCTGTACAGGATATGAGTGAGTGAGTGTGAGGATGAAGTTGTTTGAGTCTGTACAGGATATGTTGTTTGAGTACAGTGAGTGAGTGAGGATGAAGAAGTTGTTTGAGTCTGTACAGGATATGAGTGAGTGAGTGTGAGGATGAAGTTGTTTGAGTCTGTACAGGATATGAGTGAGTGAGTGTGAGGATGAAGTTGTTTGAGTCTGTACAGGATATGAGTGAGTGAGTGTGAGGATGAAGTTGTTTGAGTCTGTACAGGATATGAGTGAGTGAGTGTGAGGATGAAGTTGTTTGAGTCTGTACAGGATATGAGTGAGTCAGTGCGAGGATGAAGTTGTTTGAGTCTGTACAGGATATGAGAGAGTGAGTATGAGTGAGTGAGGGGGACACCAGAAATAGGCTTCACACATTGTTCCCATGTGGGGAATCGAACCCGGGTCTTCGGCGTGACGAGCGAACGCTTTAACCACTCGGCTACAGAATACGAGATTGTACACGATTCATTATTCAGGTTTGATATTGATTGAACTCAACAATGTCTGTATGAATCACTAAAGATGAGGTAAGCTACGACCACTCACTTCTGGGACAAGTTCCACAAAGGTTTGGACAGTCGTAGGGGAAGTTGCTGTACACCCCGCACAGGCCGGCGTTGGAACAGAAGCTCAGGTCAACGGAAGGACACACCACTTGGTATTAAAGATATATAGTTCAAGTATCACAATATACAATTGCAATGATATATTCTGGAACTGCTATCAGAAACCTGGCGTTTCTTAATATTCCTATAATTTAAATGACACTATTTTCATTAAAATCTTGTTGATCACCAATTTAGTAATTTATTATTGTAATTGTACTATCAAGATTTAGCACGAAGTGAAGATGGTATAATCAAAGAAAAATAACACTGTGATGTATCTGAAGCGAGGTGAGACAGGTTCAGGTTCAGCTTGTCGTAGGTTAATGAATAGTTTTAGCACGTTTGTTTCAAGGCATAGTGATTCCAACAAGACTTATATATAACAAGAAGTTACCAGTAAGTTCAGTCACACATGTACAGTGTCCACGTTTTGTCGATGCACCATTCAATAGGTCTTAACCTTGACCTTGCATCAATCCATATGGACATAAACCCTTATTCAACCACACCACAACACGTCAACCCTTGCCCCCTTCTTTACATATATCCTCTTTACCATAGTACATTGGCGTCAAACTTTGCAATGTTACTGCTGGACATATGACATCTTTACCACTATAGCAATCCGTACATAGCTGCCCCTTCTTGGCATATACCATCTTTACCACAATAGCAATCCGTACATAGTTGCCCCTTCTTGGCATATACCATCTTTACCACAATAGCAATCCGTACATAGCTGCCCCTTCTTGACATATACCATCTTTACCACTATAGCAATCCGTACATAGTGGCCCCTTCTTGACATATGATCATCTTTACCACTATAGCAACTGTACACATAGCTAGTAGCAATCCGTACATAATCCATTCTTGACATATACCATCTTTACTACAATAGCAATCCGTACATAGTGGGCCCCTTCTTGACATATACATCATCTTTACCACTATAGCAATCCGTACATAGTGGCCACCTTCTTGACATATACCATCTTTTACCACCATAGCAATCCGTACATAGTGGCCCTTCATGACATATATACCATCTTTACCACTATAGCAATCCGTACATAGTTGCCCCTTCATGACATATACCATCTTTACCACAATAGCAATCCGTACATAGTTGCCCCTTCATGACATATACCATCTTTACCACTATAGCAATCCGTACATAGTGGCCCCTTCTTGACATATACCATCTTTACCACTATAGCAATCCGTACATAGTGCCCCTTCATGACATATACCCTTCTTGGACATGATATATATGTTCCATCTTTACCACCATAGCAATCCGCACATAGTGGCCCATATTCTTCACATATGCCCCCATCTTATACCACCACTATAGCAATCCGTACATAGTGGCCTTCTTGACATATACCATCTTTACCACTATAGCAATCCGTACATAGTGGCCCCTTCATGACATATGACATCTTTACCACAATAGCAATCCGCACATAGTGGCCCCTTCTTGACATATACCATCTTTACCACAATAGCAATCCGTACATAGTTGCCCCTTCATGACATATACCATCTTTACCACTATAGCAATCCGTACATAGTGGCCCCTTCTTGACATATACCATCTTTACCACAATAGCAATCCGCACATAGTTGCCCCATCATGACATATGTCATCTTTACCACCATAGCGATCCGCACATAGTTGCCCCTTCTTGACATATGACATCTTTACCACAATAGCAATCCGTACATAGTGGCCCCTTCTTGACATATACCATCTTTACCACTATAGCAATCCGTACATAGTGGCCCCTTCTTGACATATACCATCTTTACCACAATAGCAATCCGTACATAGTTGCCCCTTCTTGACATATACCATCTTTACCACAATAGCAATCCGTACATAGTGGCCCTTCATGACATATACCATCTTTACCACTATAGCAATCCGTACATAGTTGCCCCTTCTTGACATATACCATCTTTACCACAATAGCAATCCGCACATAGTTGCCCCTTCTTGACATATACCATCTTTACCACAATAGCAATCCGTACATAGTGGCCCCTTCTTGACATATACCATCTTTACCACAATAGCAATCCGTACATAGTTGGCCCCTTCTTGACATATACCATCTTTACCACATATAGCAATCCGTACATGCAATAGTGGCCCCTTGACATATACCATCTTTACCACAATAGCAATCCGTACATAGTTGCCCCTTCTTGACATATACCATCTTTACCAGTCCAGTTACAATAGCAATCCGCAGCAACTCGTACATAGTTGCCCCTTCATGACATATACCATCTTTACCACAATAGCAATCCGTACATAGTGCCCCTTCATGACATATACCATCTTTACCACTATAGCAATCCGCACATAGTGCCCCTTCTTGGCATATACCATCTTTACCACAATAGCAATCCGCACATAGTGGCCCATTCTTGACATATACCATCTTTACCACAATAGCAATCCGTACATAGTGGCCCCTTCTTGGCATATGAGATCTTTACCACTATAGCAATCAGTACATAGTGGCCCCTTCGTGACATATACCATCTTTACCACTATAGCAATCCGCACATAGTGCCCCTTCTTGGCATATGACATCTTTACCACTATAGCAATCCGTACATAGTGGCCCCTTCATGACATATACCATCTTTACCACTATAGCAATCTGCACATAGTTGCCCCTTCTTGACATATGGCATCTTTACCACCATAGCAATCCGTACATAGTGGCCCCGTCTTGGCATATGGCATCTTTACCACCGTAGCAATCCGTACATAGTGGCCCTTTCTTGGCATATAACGTCTTTATCACAGTATCAGTACACCGGGTACACTCACATGTTTCACATGACGCTCCTGTAAAGTAGCCGCTATTTGGACATTGGCACTGACATCGGGATGTGTCCAGAATCCCAGAGTTCGTGCACACTTTCCCGGCACAGTCTTAAAAGATAATCAATATGATAAGTGCTGCTTCAAGAAAACAATGATGGTATGACACAAAAACGGATGTACAACGAATACAATTAGCTACGATGGCTTCTCAAGCATACAGTACTGACCACAAAGGCCCTGAGGTGTTCTGGACAAGCACATAGGGCAAGTTGTCGTGGGGTCAGTTGTTGAACAGTACGGCTTGGCAACCTCGTTGGAACGTTGCCTGCAATGATAAACCAAGCCAGCATGAAATGGTCACTCCTTGAAAGTATACGACTCAAACCACCCCCCAACCCCCAAAACGGTCGTTGACGTTATTCTTATCTTGTAAAAACGGCGTCAATGACAGATAATACCCAGTCTCAATTTATGCTGTAACAGAGTCCACTGAGCGTGAACAGAAAAATATGAGTGAAACTTCAATACGTGGTCCACTGAAAATCAGCCTTGACACCAGGTGTCCGTGAATACTATAAATATGTACAGCCATCGAGGTCTGATGACGTGTAGTTACAAAACTCATCAAGGTTGCTGACATGACGATTTTAATCTATCTTCACAAACAACAGAGTGTTTCAGTTGGGTCCATTACTAACTCCGCATGGTATAGTAGAGCTCCGTCATACATTGTATACTCACCCTCGGGCATAATTACAAACATAGAACGGTATCCGGAAGCCCTGGAGAGTGCATATAGCTTGCCCACACCCTATTCTTGACACGAATTCGTTGATAATCTGTGTAACATTATAATCTGATATCACACATTTGTGAAGATATATTGATCATTCAATGATATTTTATATAGTCTGTGTTTATTTTGGGTTTTTTGTTGTTGTTTATCGCAACAATCAGCAATATTACAATTACATGGCGGCGGTTTGTAAATAATCGAGTCTGGGCGAGAAAATCATGGACTGACATCATGAACGTCCACACAATTGGGATACGATTATATGTGTCATGGCAAGTAAATGAGCCTGACCACCCGGTCCCGTTGTTCGCCTTTTAGGACAAGCATAGGTTGCGGAAGACAAGTTCTAGCCCGGATCTTCACGGGAACCATTCCATGAAGACATGCAGTAGGTTCATTACAACGACAGTGGAACCTAGTGGTAGTCGGGACGTCTCTGGGTACCTGGGTGTAGTGTCTGACGTCGGAGCCGTTGACGGAACCCACGCCGAAGCGAAACCAAGCAGCCTCGGCGGACCAGCCGTCAGTGATGACGGACAAGAAAGATGGCCAGCCCGACCCCACGTTCTGACCAAGAGATATCCCCGGCAGGGCTGAAGGGAGGGAAAGTGAGATCCAACAGTTGGTCTGTGGTCAAGCAGACGGCGATATAGTGCGAATTAGATTTTAAAGAGTGTTGTAGGTCTTTCCAAACCTAAAATATTTACTATAACTGACCAATTGCCGTTGTAGATAATTTGCAGGGTGAAACTACCATTACAGCAAAAAAGCAATTGCTTACACCTAAAAAGCACATTTCATTTTATAAAAAGAACGCTTCTTTTAAAAATACACTCTCTCAAAAAAGAAACGCAACCCCTATCTAAATATCTGACATCATTTCTAGAATAAAGATGGTGAATGTAAATTAGAATTTTCTTCAAAATACTGTTAATACGTTCCCATCTGATCAGTATAAGCTCCCAAACGGAACCATTTTCACACATGATGACCTTTGTATCCGTGTTATTTGAGAAAGTGCGAAATTGTCATGTACAAAATGCTAAAAGCCTGTTGCACGTGCAAATCGTTGAAAACACAGTTCATGTAGAGGGTTTTAAAAGCACGCCTTATTTTGTAATTTTTCTCTCATAATTTGCTCTGCCAATCAAGTTCGAAAATGCCCCGTTTGAGTACAGCAAATCGAAATATTGCCATTGGTCGCATTGAGGCCGGGGAAAGCTTTGGAACAGTTGCCCGTCATCTAAACGTACACAAAACAACAATATCACGACTTTGGAATCGTTACACACAGTTCCATGCAATTGAAGATCGTCCCAGGAGCGGTAGACCTAGGATCACCACACCGGCTCAGGATCGCTTTATTCGACTCAGCCACCTACGTAATCGGCATGC